ATAATCCACGCTCACGACCCCCCCACTTTCTCCTCTGCCTCGCTCCGTGCTTTTGCCTGGTGAACGCTGGACTTGCTCCTGACAAGAGGAAGTTTTACCTGGGTGGCTCAGCTGGCAGCGATGTCTGCCCTTGCTGTGTTGTTCCAGACAGACACAGGGCTTCGTCTGCCTGTGAGAGCTGTCAGATGTGGGCAGCTTTCTAAAGGGGTGTAGTAAAGTCTTGACATTGTGCCCCACTGCTGCGGTTCGGGGGGCTGCGTCCCTGGGCGTGCTGGAGCGGGGTGTATGGCTGCTCCGCTTCCCTGCCTGCCTCCTAGAGAGCCTCCTGGAAAAGATGTTTAAAAGCGTTTCATGTGTCCATCCCCACTGACCCCAGGGTCCACTGCGAGTTCAAATACAGGTTCTGGACGTGATTTTGCCTGCCTCTTGTGAGACAGGTGGTAAGTCAGACTTTCCCTGGATCCATTTCAGCCTTTCCCGCTGATTTCTGCTTCCCGCTGGCTGCTGAAGCGGGGGGAGCTGTACCTGCTGCTGTCAGAAGAGGTGGGCATCTTCCGCCGAGGTGCCGGCAGGCTCTGCTACCTCTTCTTGTTCAACGACGTCCTGATCATAACCAAGAAGAAGAGGTAAGGCTGGGGGGACCCCTTCCTTTCCCTGCGTAACAACTAGGGGGATTAATATCTCAATTTCCCAAGCAGCACGTAGCCTAAGAAATTCTCGAGATTTCCCTGTTTTGACCTTTATTGAAGTGTCCCTTGTTAGTCAGAAGGGAAGCGCCCAGCTCCACAGCCCTTGGCCTTGCTTCTGTTTGTGGGTGGCCGGCAAGTCCGCGGAGCTGTGTCCCACCCCTGGGCATCAGCTCACGTCCTCGCCGTGACAGTCATCTCAGTGATGCCCACTGAACTTCACCCGCTGGGGCTCTAAGCTGGCGCTGGGAGGCAGCTCGGTCCCCGCCGGCAGCATCCGCTCTGCGGCTGCACGCGGCTGAGGTGCCGACACCGTCTTTGCCGTAGCGAGGAGAGCTACACCGTCATGAACTACGCCACGCTGGACCAGATCACGGTGGAGAAGATTGAGAACACGGACCCTCCTTCCCCTCCTCCCGGCAAGACTGGGAGTGGCGGCACGGCCCGCGGCCCGGCCAGCGGGCACCTGCTCCGGGTAGTGATGGAGAAGGACAGCGAGGGCAGGCGGGAGGAGATTGTGCTGTCGGCGGAGACGCTGTGAGTGGCCCGGTGGGATTTCACAGGGTGCATGTTCTTGCTTGTGGGGTAAACTGGTGCCCTGTAAATCCCCCTTAGGCTTCTGTGAAGTGCCTTTTCCCTCCCCATGCCTCCTCCCAGAAAGGGGGACCTGTGTGGGCTTCTCCCCTTGCTGTTTCATTCTCTCTCTTAGATGTCCCTTATAATTCCCACATAATGTTTCCCCCGTGCAAATTAAGCAAAGCAGCTGGGCGATGTGTACCACTTGTGAAGTATCTTTACGTTGAATGCTCTGAATGGGATGTTTGTTCAGTCTGACTTCCCTTGAAAGCCTTCATCTTTCCTGCTGGAAATTACCCAGCTACTGCCGGCAACACAGATGCTGTCCTAAGGCTTTCTTTGTAACACGGGCTTTCCCTCTGCCAGGAGTGACCGGGCCCGGTGGATTGCTGCGCTGATGCACAGAGAAAAGGAAAAGCCTGACACCACTCCTAAAGGAGGTACCGGCATGCTGGAGGCCAGGCCTGGCTGTGCAGGGATTAGCAGTTGTGCTAGAGCCTGAGCACTTGCAGGCACGGGTTTTTACCCTGTTCTTATCTGCTCCTGCTGGAGAAGCAGCTGGGTCAATGGAGAGGAGAACTCAGGGTACCACACCTTGCTCATTAGGAGTTGCCTCCCATTAAGTCGTCAGTCACCATAAACCTTAAATACATTTCTTAGGAGGCAGAGTGAAATTCCA